TTACCCGACCATTAAATAAACATTATTACTCAAATATGAAATAAAAACGTTATTACTCGATGATTAAACGAAAAAAAATCCCGAATAATCAACAGTCAGTCTCATGTACTTTTTCTCCTAATGCATATTGCGCGCGCGTGTGATAGAATTGTTTTCTCATTTGACAGAGGATCAGCCAGAATTAATCTAACGGCGATTAATATAAAAATTCAATCAAATCAACAAGTCACATAATATCTGTCTGAGATGAGTCATTATGATTACTTGCATTATTTAAATTATTCGGACTGTTATCCTCATCTTCATTGCCATATTCACAACGTTTCGGCCGTTGGATAAAGACGTTGGTTAAATCCAGTGACTAGACACAAGCATCCATCTATATCTCTGAGATGAGGTATTATGATTACTTGCATTATTTACATTATTCGAACTGTAATCCTCATCTTCATTGCCATTTTCAGAACGTTTCAGCCGTTGGATGAAGCCGTTGATTAAATCCAATGACTAGACCCAAACATCCATCTATATCTCTGAGATGAGGGATTATGATTACTTGGATTATTTATATTATTCGGACTGTTATCCTCATCTTCATTGCTATATTCACAACGTCTCGGCCGTTGGATAAAGACGTTGGTTAGATCCAGTGAATAGACCCAAACATCTGTCTATATCTCTGAGATGAGGTATTATGATTACTTGCATTATTTACATTATTCAGGCTGGTATCCTCATCTTCATTGCCATATTCACAACGTTTCGGTCGTGGTACGCTTTAGCCTTCTTCCTGTGATTGGAATTTCGATTCGAACCCTTTATTTAATTTATACTTTAACTTTTAAATTATTCTGATGAGACTAGACGTTCGTGCTAGATTGTTAATTGTTCCAAGTTGATTTTCAGATAACAATACCTTATTTTCAAACTCTAACTGTAAAATAGAGTTAATGATTATGAAAGTCATTTGGCCTGATTGGTATGATAGCATCTAGTATTAATAAATAATATTAGTTTATTCAATCTAGTTAGTAAAGTTGGAGATAAGTAGCGGTTATGCCTTTCTCTTCAATAGAATCGGCTGTATTTAGGCTTAGTCTTATTTAAAATATTTCCTTGATTCATTGGGGTTTATTTCATATATTTTCTTAAATATATATTTTTGGCGAAAATTCTGAACCTGACGACGCCGGGTTGGGAGAATTTTGAACCTGATCCAAAATAAATTAACCTTTCATACATTTTAGTTAAACATTTTAATTGCTAACATCAGTGCGAGTTTTAAAGTTCAAAAATATTTTAACTGGGGGAGGAAGATAAACAGAAAGGGGGTCTCTGGTCGAAGAAGTTTGATGATCCCTCTGCTAGACAATTTTTCTCTCCTGAAACTATTAAGCCTACCATTTATCCGTGCTTTGAATATTTCTCCCACATATGGTTCCGTTTGCCTGTTGTATATCTACAGATTCTTGATAAAAGCCAACGAAGAATCAGCAATATTATTGGTCCTGACCTGGCTCCTACACTTCAGCAATTTTCTCACTGTTGTAATGTAAGCTTCCCTGTGCCTTTTCTATAAATAAGCACATGGTAATTGTTCAGATGAATACGTCGCTATGAACACTATTTACATTATTCGGACTATTGTCCTCATCTTGGTCGCCATATTTATTACAACGTTTCGGCCTTTCAGTATCTGTCTATATTTCTGAGATGAGGTATTATGTATATTATTTACATTATTTTGACTATTGTCCTCATCTTTGTCGCCATATTTATTACAACGTTTTGTCCTCATCTTTGCCTTTTTATTACAATGTTTCGGCCTTTCAGTATCTGTCTATATTTCTGAGATGAGGTATTATGTACATTATTTACATTATTCGGACTATTGTCCTCATCTTTGTCGCCATATTTATTACAACGTTTGTCTTTCAGTATCTGTCTATATTTCGAGATTTAGTGTACACTATTTACATTATTCGGACTATTGTCCTCATCTTTGTCGCCATATTTATTACAACGTTTCGGCCTTTCAGTATTTGTGATATTTCTGAGATGAGATATTATTATTTACATTATTCAGACTATTGTCGTCATTTTGTCGCCTATTGTTACTTTCGGCCTCTTTCTGTCTATATTTCTAGATGAGGTATTTGTATATTATTTACATTATTCAACTATTGTCCTCATCTTTTGTCGCCATATTTAGTACAACGTTTCAGTATCTGTCTATATTTCTGAGATGAGGTATTATGTACATTATTTACATTATTCGGACTTTTGTCCTCATCTTTGTCGCCATATTTATTACAATGTTTCGGCCTTTCAGTATCTGTCTAAATTTCTGAGATGAGGTATTATGTACACTATTTACATTATTCGGACTTTTTGTCCTCATCTTTGTCGCCATATTTATTACAATGTTTCGCCAGTATTTCTAAATTTCTGAGATGAGGTATTATGTACACTATTTACATTATTCGGACTATTGTCCTCATCTTTGTCGCCATATTTATTACAAAGTTTCGGCCCTTCAGTACCTGTCTATATTTCTGAGATGAGGTATTATGTACAATATTTACATTATTCGGACTATTGTCCTCATCTTTGTCGCCATATTTATTACAACGTTTCGGCCTTTCAGTATCTGTCTATATTTCTGAGATGAGGTATTATGTAGACTATTTACATTATTCGGACTATTGTCCTCATCTTTGTCGCCATATTTATTACAACGTTTCGGCCTTTCAGTATCTGTCTATATTTCTGAGATGAGGTATTATGTACACTATTTACATTATTCGGACTATTGTCCTCATCTTTGTCGCCATATTTATTACAACGTTTCGGCCTTTCAGTATCTGTCTATATTTCTGAGATGAGGTATTATGTACACTATTTACATTATTCGGACTATTGTCCTTATCTTTGTCGCCATATTTATTACAACGTTGTACGCTCCGGCCTTCTTCAGGTGGTTGGAATGTCGAACTAAACCATTTATTTCGCTCACTGGGGTAGACTGTTCTAGTTCCACATGCCATGATTTAATGGATTTCAGTTATTAGTTATTTTTCTGTTAATTCCCCTCTCCAAGTTCTCCACCGCCTTACTCTCTCACACTCTTTGGGTCCTGTCACTGGATCTGTTACAGGATCTAACTAACGCCTTTATCCAGTGTGCCATGTCTCCTTGGGGATATCTGTGTATGAATTTCTTGGTATTATAAACCTAATGTCTTCAGCAAACATTTTTTTTTACCAGTGCTCATATTGCAATTTTTGCTGCTATCATTGCATTTTTGTTTTACCAGAGCTCATATTGCACTTTTTGTTGTTATCACTTTTCTCTGACACTCCTTATTACTGGTTCCCATATTGTATTCATTTCTATGCGTGGTCGGCTCAGGAGATTTTTGTGGCCTAGCATATGTGCTGATTCCTTAAGTTTACGAATTTTCCAATGGTGTTCCTTGTCTATGATCTCAACCTGATCCTACAGGAGTGGGGGTGATCACCCTTCTCTCTCCATATGTGGTCAGCCATGCCTGATTTTTCTACTTCCCCTCGTGTTACAGCTTTCTGGTGTTTTTGAAGCCTTACCTTGAGGGTGCGGCCTCTCTCACCTTTATATTTCTTTCCGCAGAAATATAGCCAGATAGAGTTTATGAATTTAAGCGCAACACTAGATTGTCGGCAACGTCTCATCATTTTACAGTTGAGCTGGCTAGATGCAACCGTAAGTTCTATGCTAACAGTTTCTTTTCTCGCACTTCTTGTTTGTGGAACTCTATAAAAAAATGACACTTATAATTAACATCAGAAAGAGACAGTTGAAATTCTTAGGTCACATAATGAGGAAAGAGGGTCTGGAAAACTTAACACCCACAGGAAAATTTGAAGGCAAGGAGAGCAGTGGAAAATAACGCATGACCTACCAAACGAGCTTGTGCAAATTGATGGCCGAACGGTGTTTATGACACAACTAAAAGGCAAATTCACCGTGGATGGTCTAGCGATCAAGGCACTTTCTATACACTTTCGCTTTCGTAAATTGCTTTGATTTTTAACGTAGGTACCTGCGAACATTTTCTAAAAGAGAGCATGATGAAAAATGTCCCAAACATGATAAAAATAAAAGTTTTTCGTCAAAATGTTTATGTTATTATTAAGGGGAAAGACCAAAGTTTTTATTATTATTATTATTATTACTATTATTATTATTATGTTATTATTAAGAGGAAAGACTAAAGACTAATGTGTTGATTAGTGGCTCAAAGATTAGAATAGTCTTTTTTACGTTAAAAACATTGTTTTGGAAATTCTTGCAAAAATCAAATAATTGTCGAATTTAATGAAATGTTCAGGACTTATTCACAAATGAATTACATTATTTTTTAATTTTGTTTTTGTAGAAAATTTTGGTAAAAAAAATATATTTTTACATCTGTTAACCCCCCAACTTAATTTTATGTAATTTCGAGAAATTAAAACTTCCGCCTATAGACATTTTTTATCGATTTTCTCCCATAAAGCTAAATTTTTAAATAACCCCATAATTGTCAATAGACATATAAGTTTAAATAATCCTGTATATTTAAATGACCTCATAACATTGCATCTTCTTCTGATGAGAAAAGTTTTCAGAGACGTGATTAGAAAATAATTTCTTTGCAGAAACATGACTATTTAGAGCGAAAGAAAAATATTGAGAAGGAGATAATAAACAATTGGTTACACAATGCCAAGTTATTAATTTCCTGATGGTTACGGAATTGCCAACCTCCTCCATTTCTATGCGTCGTTCACCCCGATTTGATCTGCCCACTCAGCCTTGGATGCCAACAGCCGTTCCTTTGTTATTCATATTGTCTTCGTATCGCCATTATTCTCTTTACATCTGACGATAAACAAATAAGTGAGACTGCAACAAGCAGAAACGGATTTCTCTGATTAGTTGTCTGATTTGAGAACAGTTGAAGAGGTTTTATTCTGTAGCAGACAACCGCTTCTTCTTCTTCTTCTTCTTCTTCTTCTTCTTCTTCTTTATTCTACAACAGACAGCCGCTTATTGTTAATATTTCTTCGTCTTCTTTTTTCTTCTTTTTCTTTATTCTACAGCAGACAGCCGCTTGCTGTTGCTGTTTTTATTTCTTCTTCTTCTTCTTCTTCTTCTTCTTATTATTATTATTATTATTATTAACATTAATATTTATTCTACAGCAGACAGCCGCTTCTTGTTGCTGTTTTTATTTCTTCTTCTTCTTCTTCTTCTTCTTCTTCTTCTTCTTCTTCTTCTTCTTCTTATTTTCCTGTATTCTACAGCAGACAGCCGTTTGTTGTTGTTGTTCTTTCTTCTTCCTCTTCTTCTCCCTCTTCTTCCACTTCTTCTTCTTCTTCTTTAACGTTGTCATTATCATAATCACATTTTTAATTAAAAGTCTCTACTTCTCCTTTTCTTGTTTTTTCTTCTTTAAAATTGGCATCATTACAAACAAGGTTTTACTTAAAATCAGATTCTTCTTCTTCCTTTCTTCTTCGAAAAGCGCCGCTTAACTTTTTACATAGCTTTCATTAGCTACAGACTCTTCATCTGTTTAACACCTCCTTCCAATGCTTCTTCTTAAAATTATTTCCGCCTACTCCTCTTTCTTCTTCCTCTTCTTCAAAGTTCGTATTGGTTCCTACTTTTCTACTACTACTACTACTACTACTACTACTACTACTACCCACTTCTTGTAGTTATTGTTGTTGTTGTTATAATTATTATGAGTAGTAGTAGTAGTATAGTTGTAGAATTAATACTATTATTATTATATTAAAATTCATTTAAGCTCCTTTTTTATTTATTTACTAGTTACTTTCTTGTTCAAATGACATATAATTCTCTAAATTCCTTCTTACCCTCCCCTTCCGCCTCCTGCTTTTGCCCTGAAGCGTTTTATTTTCCCCCTCCCTCACATTTTGTGTCTTCTTCATTTCTTTCTACATCTTTCGCAGACACTCCCCCCACTTTCCTTATGTCCTACATTTTCTTCTTCTTCTTCTTCTTCTTCTTCTTCTTCTTCTTCTTCTTCTTCTTAATAATAATAATAATAATAATAATAATAATAATAATGATAATAATAATATTCATACTACTACTACAACTCCACATTTTATTTTTAAAAAATCAACGAAACTTCTTTCAGTTCTCCGAATGCGAAACTTTAGACCATTTTTCCCTTTTGCTATTTTCTATCAATTCTCTTTTTTTAAAAACATTTTCAACCGTCGAACAATAAATCCAGTCACATCTCGAAAGACATTTCCTTTATTGTCAGCTCAACTTGACCTTTACCTGGCATAATTCAGAACCGCTGAACTATAAAATAAGAACAACTAACTTAGGGATCCTTACTTGGATATATATATATATATATATATATATATATATATATATATATATATATATATATCAGTCCTCCTATATGGCAACAGAAATGCTGTTCTACAGAATGATGCTGATAATACTATAGAAATTTGAGCAATGACGAAGTTTTAGAGAAAAGGGACACTTACACTTATTACTAGAAAGAGACAGTTGAAATTTATAGGGCACATAATGAGGAAAGGTAGTTTGGAGAATCTGACACTCACAGGGCATACTGAAGGCAAGAGAAAAACAATACATAACCTAATTAGTGAGTTTGAGTAAATGAATGGCGGAACAGGGTTCAGGAGAAATAACGAAACAAAATTTATTAACAGCTACAAGAGATAGGAAGTTGTGGGGAGCCATGATCGCCTACGTCCTGAAGGGACTCGGCATATAGAAGAGTAAGTAATAGACTGATGATGATGTATGTTATTGATAATGAATACTATATAAGACATAATATCCCCACTTTAGAGATTAATACAACACAGTCTTCATAAACCACAAGTATATATACATACTTGTAAAATCTGTATAATCATAATGATGCGTATGTAAAGAATTGTTTCTATTTATTTCTTTTGGTTTTCCTCAATCTTTCTCGACAGAACGACTGCAAATCTTCCGTCGACCAATTCTTTATTGTTTTCTTCTTTTCATTTGCCATTATACATTCTTGTTGATAGCTTGGCATCCTCTCAGGTCCGTAGTGGGTCTGTTTGTTTGAAGAGATTACCACGCATGCGCCATAAAACGTTGAATGTCTGTTGGGGTGGTTATGATGATTCCGAGGAATTTATACGATGTAAACTTCAAAGACAGACACATTTTGTTCAACGTGTGTTTTCCTCTGACGGTGGCCTGGTCGTCTCTTATTGTCTGAGTAAAGAAACAAAAACTTCGATAGAAACAAATCAAAGTATACTGAATTGTTATGAAATATCAATCCTCCTATGTGGCAGTGACGCTAGACAAACTAATCATAGATTAAGAGAAGATGAGGTTACAGAAGGATGCTGAGAATATTTTGGACCGAACATGTAGGCAAGGACGAAACTGGAATCAAAACGACACTTGTATCTAGTATTAGAAAGTGACAGTTGACATTTCATGGATACGTAATAGATAAAGAGGGCTTAGAAAATTTGATACTCACAAGGCCTATTGATGACACAGAAGAAAACAACGCATAACGTACCCAACGAGCTTGTGTAAATGGATGGCAGAACAAGGTCTAGGAGAGGTAGAAGAAAGATTAATATTAAGCACTACAAAGGGCAGGGAAGTTGTGGAGAGTCATAGTCGCAAATGTTCTTCAGGGACACGGCACATAGGAGAAGTAAAACTAAGAGAAGAAATTCTGGTATCTGTTCAATCAACGACTTCCAAAATCCCCGGATGAAGTTTAATAATGTCGGTCTTTCTATATGGTTGTGAATGCTGGATAATCTCAGAGATGAAAAAGAGATTCGACGCACACAAATGTGGTTCTACAGAAGGATGCTAAGAATTCCATGGACGAAATTTTACAAAAAATGGAAACCGAAACAACAATTATAATAAGTATCTGTCTATATTTCTGAGATTAAATTTCCCTATATTTTACAAGAATTTCTGAAATAAGGAATTATCATTATTATACTCTACAGACTGGCGCTACAAAATCACAAATAATTATGGTAATATTAGTTGTTTCCTTATAAGGAAACATTTAACATGCTACTGTTAATTGAAATTTATAAAATCTTTCTCTTCAAACAATTTTCCAGGAAAAAAAGTTTCCGACAATAATTTGATTTTTGTAAGAATTGTCAAATCAATATGTTTTTCACCGCAAAAAGAAGCTAAAATTTCCAATATTAATTTATAATCACCTGCTGATAAAAGAAAACAAAAAAAAAATTTTAACCATAAGTTTTGAAAGTTCTTATAAGGATTAAAAAATATAATTTTTTGTAAATGTTTTACAAAAAGAAATTGAGGAAACCTTTAACTAATATAAGCATTAAGCTTTATAAAATTTAAATTCTCAAAATTTCTTAAAATTAAATAAGTGTGGAGAAACTTATGCAAAAATAAGAAATATTTTTTACCATCCTAGAAAGAATAATTTCTAAAATAATTTCATTAATTTATAAATAATTTCGGATTATTTCATTAAAATCTGACAATTATTTGATTTTTGCAAGAATTTCCAAATCCGTATATTTTTCATTGCAAAAAAGACTCAATATACTATTAGGTTGGTGCAAAAATAATGACGTAATAATGTCGTTTTTTGACGTTAAAAAATACGTCAAAAAACGACATTATTACGTCATTATTTTGGCACCAACCTAATAATTTATGGGCCCTTGCTGATGCAAGAGAAAAGAAAGTTAACCTAAATTTGGGAGGTTCTAAAACGGATCAAAATTTTGAAGGTTCTAAAAGGGATTAAAAAATATAATTTAATAATAAAAAATATATCCTATTTGCATTATTCGGACTATTATCCTCATCTTTGTCGCCACATTTATTACAATGTTTCGGCCGTTGTATGCTCCGGCCTTCTTCAGGTGGTTGGAATGTCGAACTGAACTCTTTATTTCGCTACTGGGGTAGATCGTTCTAGTTCCACGTGCCATGTTCAGTGGATGTCAGTTATCAGTTATCTCCTATTAATTCCTCTCTCCAAGTTCTCCACTGCCTTAAACGGATATTGAACTCACACTCTTTAAGTCCTGTCACTGGATCTAACTAATTTCTAGATAAATGATAACTGACATCTATGGAACCAGAACAGTCTACCCCAGTGAGCGAAATAAAGGGTTCAGTTCGACATTCTAACCACCTGAAGTTATCTCCTGTTAATTCCCCTCTGCAAGTTCTTCACTGCCTTAACCGGGTATTGAACTCACACTCTCTGTGTCCTGTCACTTGATATAACTAACGTATTTATCCACTGTGCCATGTGTCCTTGTTATAATAATTATTAATAATATATTATTATTAATAATTGTTATAATCAGAAATAAATTTCTAGGGCAACTAATGAGGAGATAAAACTTGGAAAATTGAGGCCTTGCATAAAACCTATTGAAGGCAAGATGTAGTGGAAGATATACAAGCCATTCCCACAGATAAAAACGTTTCTGGACTCTCACTAATTTATCGCTAGTTTCTCTGGTTCCATTTGTTCAGACCTTCACATCTAGAACCTGCCAGGACATGTACACTCAGAGAGCCTCTTCGCCATATCTGTTGCATTATGTAACGGACTGCCGAGAGGGTGCTTCTCTGATCTCTACAATATTAACCTCTTCAAGTCAATGGCTAAACGTTATCTATCCTACTTATCTTCATGATACGCACCTCTTGCCCGTTCCTTGGAAATCTGCACTGCAACCTCATTTACAACCTTGAGCGACTCTTGGGCCTTGCATCGGATGAACATAGTAAATAGCAAACGTACTTTTTAGACTGATCGGTATAAGTCAGTACAGCAACAATAATAAGTTTGGTAGTCCTAAGTAAACTTGAAATTATAATGACACACCTCAAATTAAAACCATGATCGTAACAAAAAAGAGCCTCCTGGGTAAGGATTAATTACATTCGACAGCAAGGCCTCTGATCAGGAGATTTCGAGGAGCATCGAACCACCTCTTAATTGCTGGTGTTTCTAGATCTACCCTGACTCGAGGTGGTAGCACCTGTTAGGGTTCCAATTATGGGCAAATAGTTAACCCCCCAACTGGGGTGAAAACACCATGAAAGTGTATAAATAGGTTTTAATACCAGGAATAAACGTTTGTAATATCAAGAATGTTCAGCTATTGATGAGAATAACTTGAAGACATGGTATTCTAACAGTGATGGACTCCCTTTTGTCTGGGTTTTGGATATAAGCCCAAAATGGCGCGAACTCAACAGGCGGCCTCAAGAAATTTGAAGTGTCGATATGCTTCCCAAACCTATGTTCAAGAAACAGCCTTAAACGACACGCTGAGGGACACGTCCTGCCGTTCCTTGGTCCTACCTCCCGATGCCTCTTTGAATCCAAAATGCCACGTCTGTCCCTCTAATAAAAAAAAAAGATTAAGAAAAAGAAATCGTCTTTTCGTTAATACCATATTTGCCTCTCTGGGATCCAGTG